GCTCCTTGTTTCCATCCTAAATTGTTCTCATCCACAGAACAGCACTGCATGTAGTAGGCAGAGCTTTCTGCCCATGCTGCCCGTATACACTGCACATCAAACTCAGCAGTACCATTCTGGTTTTCACTAAGCTTCTCTTCCTAAGACTTTTCCAAGGTGATCTAACAGGAGAAACCGGCACCCAACAGTGCTGTACAAAGCTATTAAACAGGTGAAAGTGGGAGAAACAAGCTCTGGTGATATGCGGGGATGGGGGACACAGTGCCAGTTGCCCATACGTCTACCCTATAGAGCAGTCATCTTCACTACATTTTGGTTGTTGGAAGAGTTGGGAACTTCCTGGGTAGTTCAGTCTTGAACAGCCAGAATGCTGGCAATAGCTGGTTCCCTCCCATCCAACTATTATGTGGGAAAGGAGTCTGCCTCCATTTTACTTGGGAGGGTATTTGTACTTTCCTCTTGTCTTCCTGCTTTGTAGGTGATAACATTACAAAGACTACATACACTTAGTTCTACAGTCAATTAGAGGGAACCTCCAGTGCCTTTGGTACCTGTGTTGACAAAGAGGGGCTTCCTTAGGAATAGGAACTTTTAAAAATGTGGGCCAGCTTAACTTTGTAAGAAGCAAGCTCAAACAAAAATAGCACCATTTACACCACATTTTAAAAGAAATTTGAGATTCAGAGAGCAAAAGCGAGAGGGAGAGAGAAAGAAAAATAAGGTTCTCATCCTTTGGTTCCTTCCCCAGATGCCAGAAACATCTGGGGCAGAATCAGTTAGAAGCGAGGAGTGAGAACTCAATCCAGGTCTTTTGTGCGTGTGACAGGGATGCAGCTTCTTGAGCCATTACCTGCTGCCTCCCAGGACATGCATTAGTAGGAAGCTGGAGTCAGGAGCTGGAGGCAGATGTTGAACCCAGGCACTACAGTAGGGGATGTGGGCACTTAAACTACTAGGCCAAATGCCCATGCCAGTATTGCTGTTTAGGTCTAGCAAAGTACCTCAGCCTCTCATATGTCTTCAAAATAAAATAAAAATCCTAATGGAGGGAAGCAAATAGAAAAGAAAATTAACCCAAGCCCTAGATTTTTATATTACTTCTCTAATATTATTGGAACATTTCCGCAACAGGGTGCTGTGTGCGTGCATGTGCTTAACTCTCTTCTTTCTGCGAATCTCCTATTACCATAATGCTCTTGAGTCTTTGTATGTAGAATCATTATTCAGAAAAAAAATTTAAGCCAGAGGAGGTTTGATTATCTACAGTTTCACTTTTTGTGTGAAGCAAATAAGGTAGGCTCAGGAGACACTAGCTAGGCTGATAACTATTTTAAAACCCGCGATTCAGACTGAGTCACTGCTTGTTATTTTTATAAGCAAGCCCCTAATTCTGATGGACCCCAAAGAATGGGCTGCAGTGACTAAGCCAGCAGCACAAGGCAATTGGCTTCTGCTGGATGTTATCTTACTTGGAACACATTTCAAACCTTAGAACAGATTTTTAAATTGGAAGTTGAAACCTGCAGACTGTCAGCAGAAGGGGCTGACTCAACCCCACAGAACTTATTTTACTCCAAGATCCAGGCAGAGTTTTCTAAGGAGTAGGTACCTAAAATGTGTTGTGATAAATCAAAGAGAGAAATATTTTTAAAAAGCCCACAGAACAAGGGTGATGCATGTCTCTGAATATCCTTGGGAATTGTAACATATGTGTATTTGAGTGAAGGCTTCTTTAAATTAGCTGTTTTATTCAACACAACTTGTAAATCTTCATGGATCTCTGAAAGGATAATCATAACTTTCCTGCAATGATTTTGTTAGTGGTTTTGGGTTCTTCACATGGAAGTTTCTGAGTAGAAACTATGATGTCACTATTATTACTGAGTAAATAAGAATTAGGGATAGAGTCTTGGTAAGGTTAGCAATAAGAAAGCCTCATATTGATAGTTGTGGATTATTTATGAATTGACTGTTGCTTTCATTTGTAATCATGGCGCAGCTACCAAAAGTCCAGATACCATGAAAAATACTTGTGATTTTCTTAAACTAGAGGAACTGTGAAAAAGAGAGCAATAATAATGATTTTGACCTGGCACAAAGATCGAGAGTACCTGGAGATACTGACTTGTCTATGAAGTAAATGCTGTTATAATCTTAGTACCCCAAATAAAATCCATGCTGCAGCGGATCTACAGGGGAAGTGCATGGAGTGACCAACTAGAGGTCCCTTCCAACTAAAAGAAGTTTCACTAGTTTAGACTGCTGCCTTGGTGAGTTGGCATTTGTGACTGCAAGGCAAATAGGGGCCAGAACAGGGAACCACACAATTTAAGATTCAATACCTAAGGAAGATACAAGCTTTTTACTCAGAATATCTGTCACATTATGCACCCTCCTCTGCCCCGCTCCACCCTTTTATTTATCCCTATATAGAACATTGACCCAGTCAGTCCTAATTAGATATTCAGATATCTAATTAGGAATACAATAAAGAAGTGTCACTTGATGCCCTGTGATTGTAGCTGTGCTTTCCAGAAATTTTAGCTGTTTTCAAGTACCTCAAGCAGCATTTTGCAAGATAATTTTTTTTTTCTTGAAAATGGAAGAGTGTCTCACAGTTAAGTTTTTCTTGCAAAGCTGATGGAAGTGGTGGGTGGAGAAGACAAGGTACATGGTTTTATGATCGTAGGCAACTTGGTAGGAAACGAGTGTTTCCATATATTATCTTTGCAGAGTTAGCATTGAGAAATGTAATTGCAATAAATTGGTGTAAAAGCCAGATAGTAACGGGACTAAAAGTCCCTATAGAGACACCAGCCTGTCACTTTCTTATAATGGCAGCAAAAGATAATTGTAGATAAATACAGTGAAACTAAACCAATGCCATTTCCCTCCTCAACTGTGTTACTGTCTCTTATGTTTTTCTGAAGCTATTGGTTACTTCCTCTCCCTCAAAAGTATTGCAGGATCCCTCAAATTAGGCGGGGGAAAGATCTGCCATTTACTCCACTCTCCCCATATCTTTTAAATTAGCACATGCCAAAGAGCAAAAGGGGATGAGATACAACCCGATGCGACTGTATTTTTCAGTTGATTGTGGGATTTCTTTTAAGTTTCTGAGCTCTGCATTGAAAAATCTGGCCTCGGGCATACTCTTTGCCCTCGTCTTTATGACATCATGAAGACATCTGCTTGCTCACATCCCCTTGCTTCATACAGCTGGTTTTCTGGTTCTGTAAAACAGCAAGCGCAGAGCCCTGCCAGGGCTCCGGCACAAAGGATGATGCTCAAGCGAAACTGGAAGAGATTTTTTTTTTCCTCTGCCAAAGTAGAATTCTAAGGGTTTTCCTTTTCAGGTAAGGCTGTCAGCAAGAGAGGATGGGAAATAAGCAACCCTTGGCCACGGTTCGAAGGAGCATATTTGTTACTCATTCTTAGTAGAGTTGTGCTTTGATGAGCTCTAACCCCACGATCCCTTTCCAACACTGGGGAGCCTTGGCTCGCCCTGGGTCACTCACTGCTCAGCATGTCCATCTTTTGCTCCTCACCCCGCTGCAGAGCAGCCACAGAGGTCTACCCCAGCCCCTCCAGCTATATTGCAGGAAAATCTCCCTCTCCTATATGATGTATTCCCATAAGTGAAAGTGAAGACGGGTCCATACACCTCTGTAGTGTGACTATCACCATCACCACATCTTTACCAAAACAAAAACAAAACAAAAGTTGAGTGGGAAAGAAGCGAGTAGAGATTCCAGATGATGAAACTTCTTGGTTCCTGAACGTTCCTGGCAGTAGTTAACTGAGGTGACCAGCCCCTTGCATGAACAGAGACCTGCATTTAACTCCCCATAAAATATGGATTTCATTGCAGCAGCGACATGTCTCAGCAGCACGCTGGCCTCTCCAGCATCTCCCTCCTGGAGATCTATGGTAACTTGGCAGGAGGACAGCTAACTACCCAACAAGTCATCCGGCTCTGCAGCTGGTGCTGCACACAACAGTGCGACGTCTCCTTTTATTAAATTCGAGATGAACGCATCGGAGACTCCACGGGTCCTGCACCCGCCACCTGCAACCCTGCGCTCTGGGTCTGCTCTCCAGCCACGCGGGGAAGGCATTCCCCACCCCCCACACTCCCCGCCCCGCGTGTGCCTGGCCAGCCGTACCGAAGCGCGGGCGAGCTGCCTCTTCCACATGACTTTTCCCTGGGCATCGTGCTCCATTTTCCGAGTCCAGTGTTGGACTGTGCTTGCAACCTAAGCATTTCTATCTTTTAGGAGCCGGCAGGCACAGCCCGGAACATGCAAGCTCACAGTTTTCATGAGCTCCTTCTCAGCCACACATCACCTCCGTAGCTGAAGTTTTCCTTCTTGGGAGCCTTCCAGAGGTTTCTCAAGACTACCTGATTTTCTGCGTTACCCTCAAAGCCAAAACATGCTACCCAGCCCCAGCAGTCGCCGCAAAGACCCTTGTGATGTGGGCAGGTGGAGAATACATAGAGCCCCAAACGGCTCCCTGGGTTCTGCGTGCACGGGAGCCCTTGGTCCTTGGCCGGCCAACTTTGCCAGCCCGCGCCGGCTGAGAGAGCGAGCGACAAGGCGGCGGCAGGCTCCTCTTCCTCGGCCCCGCTGCACGCGCCCCAGCCCAGCCCAGCCCAGCCCCAGCCCCTGCACGGATCGCTCTTACCAGAGGCCAGGGAGCGGCGCTCAGCCTCCCCGGGTAGCGGCGCCCCGAGCAGCCCGACCCGCGCACCCGCCTGGACCTGGACTGGGGCTCTTGCAGGCTGAGCCTCCCTCCCCGCTCCGGCGCGCGGCACCACCACCACGAAGCGGACTGGGCTCGCGTCTCTCTCTCTCTCTCCCCCTCAGTCTCTCTCTCCCTCTCTCTCTCTCATTGGTTTCCGTCAATGCTACAGAATAAAAACAACAAAAAAACAAAACAAAAGCCCATGTATGCCCAAGCTCTGGCGCCGCCGACCGAGACCGAACCCACCAACCCACCTCTGCGGTCCGTCCGGCACCCGTGGGGACCCGCGCCCCGCGCAAGCTGCTCCGGTCTCTGCCAGGCGCCGCGGCCGCCGGCTCCGGCGTCCTCGCTAGCGCGGCTGCAACTGCGGCTCTCGGGATGGGAAGGTGACGGGCCCGGGAGAGCTGGCTCTTGTGGGCACACACTGATTTGCAAGTGAATGGAGTGGGAGGGAGCAGAGAGAGGAGTACTTTGTTAGAGACGCCCAGTGCCTGCCCCCGCCCGCCGCCTCCCCTGCACAGAACGACTCCCAGTGTTTGAAGTCCGGAGCAGGCGCTCCCTGCCACCCTCCCGCAGCCCCACGCGCCCCCTTCTTCCTCTTTTCTTATTTTTTTCTGGGGTGGGGTAGGGGGTGGTGTTTAAGGCATCCTCAGAACTTGTGTGACTCTGACTCTCTCCTGTCTCATGCCACCAAAACGCACCTCGTGCTGGCATCAGCAATGGTCTGATGTTCTTTTTTTCACCGACCACGCAATTATAGTTCCCAGGGACGCGGTCCCTCGCCGCGCCGAGAGCCGGCAGCTTTGCGCGTTTGCACGCAAAACACGCACACTTGGAAAAGACCCCGGCCCCCTGCGCCAGCAGTACGGAGAGCTGTTCCTTTTAACCTAAGCAGGCGTCCTCCAGACGCGAGCAGACACGGATTCGCGCTGGTCTAGCCTTCTCTTCCTTCCAGGAAGATGCGGTTTTACCGAGCCCCAGAATCTCAGCTATCCTTTCGGAGGGAGTGACCTCGGGACGTTGTAGCGCAAAGCCTTGGTCTCCTGGGCTTGCAGAAATACCCCAAACCCAAACTCTTCAGCCTTGCCCGTGGCTTACAGCCGATGCCATCTTTCTAAATGAATTCCCATAAGGATACGAAAGATTTGTAGAAGAGAAATGTATAATGGTAGTCAAAGTCCACTCAACGTTTTGAGATTATTTCTGGAAAGTTACCGAAGTAAGATAAGATCCAAATTAAACTCCTTGGTACACAAAGCTGTTGGGTTGACTCTTTACAGTTACAAGGAAGCACTTTCTAATAGGAATGGACTAGGCTGCAAAAAATCTTACTGATGTCAAGGTATTATTAAATGAGAGTCACGATTTTCTAAATAGGAGCCGTAGACATGATGGAGTCAGGCACTGTTGGCTTAGGAAAATTAAATCTAATCACCACAGTGATTGCAGCCGGGGTCAGGAGCATCCCAAGCCTGCTGCTCCTGCTTGCTGCAAGTTCTCAGCGAGATTTCCTGCTCTGTGCTCTAAGAAATTCCATCCGGGCTCCTTGGCCTCCCAGTGGTTAAACTGGTTGGAGGTTGGTCTGGTTCCCAACTGAGCTCTTACTAGGAAAGCTTTTGTTTCTCCAATAGAAGTTCAGGCATTTAAATAGAGCCAAAATCAAAGTATTTCCTTTAGGCAGCCAGGGCTTCAAAGAAGTGTGTGTGGAATGGTTTTTAGCACAGATGTTCCCCACATGGATGGTAGGAAGATGTTTGAGTTTCTTTCTTGAAAAGACCTTCCTCTAATGAAGAATTGCCACCTACATTTACAAAAAGAGGCTGAACATCTTTTATGCAGGAAACCATTGAAAGTGTTACAGAAAAAGGATAGGGAAAAAGAAAGCCGCTTTTAATGCACAGCCCATTCCTCAGATTGTGAATTTCATACACATTGAGTTGGAAACACTAACCCTTATGTCTGCATAGTCCTTTACTGCTTACACAGCACTTTTGTAGGCTATTGTATTTAATATTTCTTTCAACATGGTGTACTTGTTTTCTCCCCATTAGGACAGAGAAAACAGATTGATGATGAAGTAGAGGTTAAGTAATATGTCCAAAGCAGTAAAACTGAAAAACACAGGAGGAAAATATTCTCAGTGAAATCATGCACAAGTGTGTATGCCGACATACAGACCCACAAATTCTAAGTGAACATATGATTTATTAATTTATTAACATGTGAAAGATTAGTAAATAGCTTCAAAACATAGAAGTACATCAATAAAAATAAGTACGTGTTAAGACTACCTTCAGCAGAAGGATGGCAGATTGGCTGATTTTTATGGTATAAGAAGGATGACAATGAAGTTGATTTTCTATCCATTGAACCAGTTAATATCTCACAGAGGAAATCTCTAATTGTTTGCAGTATGCTATTCTTCAAAGCCCATTAAGCTACACATCAAAGGTGGTTAAAACAACTACTTTTTCTTAAGAGTGGACAGGCGATCAGTTTGCTTCTGAACAGTTCAGCTGGCAGCCTTACATTCCACAAAGGATAACACTTTTTATCCTGATGAATTTTATGTGATTTTTGGAGCTTCTCATTTTCAATTCCAGGATTGATATAAATATCTGGAATTTATCCTCATTTCACAGACAAAAATCTGAGTCAGTAAGTTTAAATGATTACTGGGTAATTTCTGTTTCTAGTTCATTCTGTAGTACACCAAAACATATAGCAGACCAGTGACAGTTAAACAAATGAGATAGTCCTTGTTCTCATCCTATAGGATTTTCTCATGAAGCTAAGAGTGAGAATTCCGCAGCGCTTCTAGAAAAGCCTGGAAGCAGATGCTGCGAAGCCAGCAGCACTCCACCACGAGCACTGTTTTCTCATGACTGTCTCCTGCTCTCCTTTCATCTCCCTTCACACCTGCTGCTTCTGCCCTTGGATTAGTCTATGTTCTGTTGCTGAAGCAAAATACCCGAAGTTGAGTTCTGCACCAAGGGACTTATTTAGCTCACAGTTTTAGAAATTACAAGTCCAAGATCAGGCGGCACCGTCTCCTTGGGCTCTGGTGAGGGCCTCGCGGCAGACAGCATCACAATGGCAGAAGTGCGAGTGGAAGTCTCATGACCATGCACTGAAGCCAGATAGAGGGAGTGGCCAGCCTTGCTCTTTCCTAACAACTCACTCTCACAGGAACAAACCAAGCAGGGTCCCACTTGCCTTTGTATCTACAGGGGTAGTCTCCTGCCATGGTCACACAATCATCCAGTGGGCCCTGTCCCTTCAAGGCCTGACCACTGCCACACTGAGGACCAAGCTCCCCAGCACATGGACACCTTGGGTTCAAATGACATCCAAACCATGGCTGTCCTGCAGTCTACAGGGCAGGGCGAGCAGTACCACTGATGGTTCAGGCTGATCTGTGGCTCTCTTTCTGCTTCCTTTCCAATTTCTTAGACTGTAGCTCTGCTTCATCAGGTGCTCCCCCAGATTGGTCATCTGGGGAGGAAGGAATGGCATGGTCCACACTGGTTTTTTCAGGTCACAGTGAGGGGAGCAGTTATGGATTTCCTGGTGGACTGGGACGATGATTCAAAAAAAGTCCCGGGTCCCTTATTCTCTTGTTTTGTGTAGTAGTTTGGTACAGCTGAAGCATCTCTCCATTTTTAGGCTACTTTGTTATTTTATGTCTTACTCAAAATTACTTGTACTTATCTCCCATTATAGCTTGCAAAGTTTCAATTAAAAAAAAAACCCTCCTTCGTAGACCATTACTAGGGATATTAATTTTGATGAAGGATTTTCCAACTTCCACTAAATCTCTCTTCAGATGATTAAGAGGCTATCTTATCCTTATAATGGGGTTGCATATAAATAAATAATTACAAGTTCCCTGACTTTCTTTTCAATAATATACATCTGCATGCAATGATTATCTGATGAAAACATTTTCATGATCATTAACAATTACTCTTGATTAGAAAAAAAAATTTAAACCATGTACCTAATTAAGAATCTTGGCATAGGTGATCTTGATTCACCAATCCAAATCTTCCCTCTAACTTCCCTTGTGTGTGTTGCTGATAGAGAAACCCCAGACATTTACAATACTTATGAAGAACACATCATGATATGTGCACAGGTGAACATATTTCATGGAGGGATGAATGCCCATTCCCCTACTACTTCTGTCTTGCGTGTGTGTGAGTGTGAGTGTGTGTGTGTGTGTGTGTGTGTGTGTGTGTGCATACACCAGTATTTAAGAGGGGGAAAAAAAAACTTTAACCACTCTGGTTTTTATTGAACTGAAACAAAGTAGACAGGAAACCTCAATGGGATTCCCCTTTTGTGAGAGACCTAGACATCTCAATACAAGCTAAAATAAATTCAAACAAACTTCACGTGCTTATCCAGGTTTTCTAATCCTGGGAGAGCTTCCAATACCATATTTAAAGTGGGTTGGATCCCAGGATGCATTGAGACATTTCCCTCTTGATCATTATATTTGACTCATCACTATAGGTAGATTACAATAAGCAGGGAGATTTCCAAATGAGATAAACACATAGCGGCAAAATGTGATTGATCAAACAGGGTAATTTAGTACTTTGGGAATTTCAGGCTAGTAGAGTGGACTCCAATTTTGCTGAATTCTTTTCATTTTTTATTCACTGCCTTGTAGTAGAATACCAGTCTACCTGATCAGTTATGCACGACTCAAGTCTGGTGGATTCTGGGAACCAGGATTGTACCATGGCAATAAAGGGTTATATCCTTGTTTAGAGGAAATAGTCCCTAAGGAGGAAGGGTGAGTGTCACTTTATTCCTTTAAGTAAGTGGTGTAGAGCAGAATAAACACAAAATCCTACACTTTCCCTCCAGGGAGAAAAATAATTTTCCTTATCCACCAGCTCCCTTTCCAAATAGAAGTATTTGATGGGAAGAATGACAGGCTGTAGTGGAGAGGACAATATAGCAGTGTAGTTTAAAATATTTTGAGATTCAATAGATTGTGAGAAAATCAGAATTTCACAGATCATGGCTGTCAAAAAGACAAAGATAAGAAGATGGAAAAAAGATCTTCTGTGCAGGTGTAAGTATTCTCTTTTGAATGGACCAGACTTCACCTACAGCTTTCTTCTTTGGGTATCACACTTAAATACCCATTTGTTTCTTGCCCCTTTTCTTGTGTTTCAGATACACTTCATAAAATTCCTATAGTATTTTGGCTACACTTCATTATTTACATAGTCTTCTTCACACCTACTAGACTATAACCATTGAATTATTGAAAGTAGAACATTTGTTTGGGTTATCATTTTAAACCTGGTACTTGAAAATAGTGCTTGGTGCTTGCATATATGAATAACGGAGATTCAGCTAAAATGGAATGGACTGAGTAGACAAACTCGAGATGGTTTGCAGACTTAAGATTATATTTAGAAGATAAAGGCAATCAGATTGGAAAAGGGAAG